TTGATTTTACCTAGCATGCTTGAATTAGTTATTTAATTGCTTTGAATCCTTGTTCTGTGTAGTTAGTGAACACAATGTTGCATGAGATTGAATACCTAATAATATAGTGAACACTAGTTATTTGAGCTAAGATCAAACCAATCTTAGAATAGTAATTGAATAATTAAATTAAGCTGTGTTAGGGAACTTATATTATGACTATAATTGTGTTTTGATTAATCAATCTTTCATGGCTCCAATCTTACTTAATAATTGATTATGTGTTAACTATTGTATGAACATAAATAGAATTACATGAATTGATTAATAATTAGTAGAGTTAGAACTAAACTACTAATACTATTTTAATTGGTCACCAACAGTAGTAGTTATAACCAATGTATAACCATTGAGTGAAAGTGGATTCGAATTAATAGAAGTATTTTATTTATTGATTAAGTTATCGTTAAAGAATTAAGTTCATCTAAACTTGAAAAATTAGATAAAAGCATTTTTAGCACTACTAGAAAAATAGCCTTTTACGACGCGCAAACCACGACACTCACTGATTTACGTTACGTAAAAGAGAGTGACATTAAAAAAGTGTCATCTATTAAAAACGTTTAATGATTTAGGTCGCGTATTACTGTGCGCTCTTAAATTAGTGTGTAATCCAAAAAAAAAAAAACACGGAGGGCACCTATTATAAAATAGGCGTCGTCTATGGATGTCGCTTTATAATTTTTAATGGAACGCGCGTTCCATCCCTTAATAACCAGGGGGAAAATGAAAACCTAAAAAATTAAAAACACCGCCTTCCTTTTTTCTCCTTTCCCTCTTGCCCTAATTATCGATGCTCAAATGAAAAGGAACGACTACGATGCAAAGTTGAAATTGGTCAGAGAATACAGTCTACGATGCAAAGTTGAAAAGGAACGACTCAGCAAAATCTGTAATGATGTGAGAATGCTTCTAACTCTTGAGGACAAAGATCCATGAAGAATCTTCGAAGGCGAAGCTCTCATGAGGAGGATGCACATGTATGGTTTTCTGGATGAACGTTCTCGCCCTCACTGTTGAAAACTTCATTGAACATTGTCTTCCAACCCTCGTCTTCATTGAACAGATTATTTATCTTATCAAAAAATCACAGGGGCCATTATCTAGGGCTTTTTTCATGGAGTGCTCTTTGCAACGTTCTCTACCTCAACTCTCCTCATCTGCAAGTGACCTCAACTCACCTCTTTCCACCAGAGACCTTAGGCTCACCTCACCTCACTGGAGACTGGAACGACTGCTCAAGTTTCCAAGCCCTAGGGCTGATTAAGGTATGTTTATCATGATCTCGACACATCTCAACAACACCACTACAACTCATTCTCAGTCATCGACTTACTCTTCTAACCAATGTTCTCCGTATCTCCTACTTCTTGCCTTCCCATGGTTTGCTAATCAGATCCGATTTACCAAACACGACTCCATGTGAGTTCTTCCCTTTGTGTTGTATCTGAAGAAATTAAAAAAGTTTATGATCAATGTTTATGAGAATTACTTGATTTACCTGATTGAAATCACTCTCCATAGAAAAATGATTTTAGCACAAAAAAAGTGAATTTGGAAATTTTTGCTTCAACAACCAATTGATGAGCATTTCGATTCTTCTGTGTAGAATCAAAATATGAGGCAGCTTTTCATTTCAGGTGTATCGCGTTTTTAGTCTTTATTAGGTCAAATGATTCACATTTTGGTTTGATTAGCAAAGTAGGATCTTTAGTACACAAAATGGCGAACCAACTATGAACAATTCATTTAATCTTTTTAACGTAAATAATTCACGTTGTTTTTTAGGGATCTTTGAGGCTACTTACTGATATCTTGTATCCTATGTTAAAAAAAAGATGGAATTGGACATGCCTCTTGATTACGCATCATTCCAACTCTCACCAAAACATTCAAGGTAACTTCAATTTTTAATACTTAATAGTACAATTTGTTTTGATGATTTTGTCTAACTGCATTTAATCCTTTTATCCACCTTTTGTGCAGATGTGAATTGATTGTTTCCAGTATTGGAAACACTGAAAAGCTTGCATCGGGTTTAGTGAAGCCAATTTTGACACATTTGAAGGTTGTGGAGGAACAAGTTGGATCCTCAGCTCAATTCATTAAGCTTGAAGTAAATAAACGTAAAAATGTGGACTCATGGTGCACAAAGGGAACACTTGAGAGGTAGTGTCGTTATACAAAATTTAAAGCTTATACGTTTGAAATTTGGATATAATCATATAATTGATAGCTTTTGTCATTAGGTTTGTTCGTTTTGTAAGTACACCTAAAATTGTTGAACTAGTGATCACCTTTGATGCTGAGATGTCTCAACTAGAAGCAGCTCGTAAAATATATTTCACATGTATGTGGTTTTAATTTTTAAACTATGTATAATTGTTCATATACATATATAATTAAGGGTGTTCATTTAACTAAAGGTTTCATGTTAATTTCAGGGATCATCTGATCAACCATCGAGTAACATAGGTGATGGTAGATCAAGCACAACAACTAGGGCTGATGCAATAAAGTATAGTTAAATTTTATTGAATGTGCTATCTTTTTTTGGTTTTGTTGCAGTCTGTGTTGACTGTTGAGTTGACTATTCGTTTCCTTTTTTACAGGAAGGAGCTTTTGAGGGAAATTGATGTAAGGCTGATAGCTGTGAAGCAGGATTTGAATACAGCTTGTGCTCGTGCCACTGCTGCTAGTTTTAACCATGACCCAGTAGCTGACCTCCAGTTGTTTGCAAAGAGATTTGGTGTCACTCGCCTAAAGTAAGAAATATTTTCTTCCATTTTTTATCTTGTTTATTGTGTCATTTTTTATCTTTAATTGTATCTATCTTCCGCTTTCTAATAACAATACTCATTCTATCCTTCTACAGGATCTTCGCAAATAAGGTGGTGTTCTTTGATTGGTTCAAGATGAAACTTCCTCAATGCAAAGACTCTCATCTTATGGTGGTGGTTTCTAGGCTAAACTCAAAGATTTTATCTATTGTAAGTTCTTATTGTAAACCACGATCTTATGTTAACTTTATTAAAGGATTTTTTTTCATTAATAGCTTTAAATCCTCTTTCTTCAGATGCTACAACTTTGTGAAGTCGAAATCATCTCTTTTTTTTGGCTGCAAGCACAACTGAAGGCTTAGTTTTAGCTAAGTATACTATATCTGAGGTTTAAAAATGAGGTTTATTTAAGACATTATCATAATAATTATCAAATTAGTTTGCATGATGTTTATATTCGTGCAGGAATTAGGTATTAACAAGATACTAATTGTTGATTGGGATGTTTTATCCTTGTGGTGATGATAGATCGTATGACATGAAGGGTGAGGGAGAAGGTGAAGGGTACAATATAAATGTTCCATGGGAGATGGAAAATGTGGTTATGCAGATTATATTGCAGCATGGGACCATATACCAATCCATGTTGCAAGAGAATTTAAACCTGATATAATTCTAGTTTCAGCAGGATTTGATGCAGGTCAGTTCTACTTCTACTAGCTCTCGGTGTTCATAAAGTTATGTTTTTTGGACTATAATTTTTCATTTTTGTGTTTTTAAACAGCTATTGGTGATCCTCTTGGAGGCTGTTGTAGTACACCGATCCCTATTGTATTTTTAAACAGCTATGGGAGGTTCCAGAAGAGGAATTTAAAACTGTGATAGATACTAATCTAAAAGGAGTAGAAAATATGTTACGTCACTTCATTCCTCTTATGATTGAGAAAAAACAAGGGATTCTTGTTAATATGTCGTCTGGGTGGGGAAGATCTGCTGCAGCACAGGTAAAATTGAAACCAATAAAACTTTTTTTTCATATTAAGTCTTTCTGTCTGGATAAAGTGTTGTATACACAAAGTCTTTCTTTACTAGACTAAATAAACCATATGAATCATACTAATAAACCATATGAATCATACTAAATGTCAACTTTATAAATTAACATAGATAGGCATAGCTGTTTTACTTTTATTAAAGATCAGATTATTAATTTTTTTAACTTTGGTTTAAGATCCTTCTAATTTAGCTCTTCTCTCTATCCAGTTTTTGTTTTTTCTCTTCAATTTTCTTTATGTTTTTTTATGAGATCATCTCCAATGATAGTTTTTTTTAAAGCTTTTTACTATTTGAAAAAGCTTACCATTGGAGAAGAAGACTAAACACTTATTTTCCCTAACCTTTTATTTGTCTTTTAAGCTCTGTCACATTTGATATTTACATTTTCTAGCTCTTTATTTATACACCAACTATATTTAGATATTAGATTTATTTTAGGCTTTGTATTTAGTTAATTAATTTATTTAATAAACAAAATAAAAATTATGCAGTTACATAATCTTTTATCATTTTTTCATTATAATGTTGAATAATGTTTTTTTTTTAATTTTAATAATAATTTCATGTAAGGTTTTTTTCTCCGAAAATACTACATATGTTGGTAAAATTATAAATTGTACGAGTGGATTTAATAGAACATTTAAGATAGATAAAAAGATAATTTGATTAACTTTTGAGAAAAAGCTTTATAAAAGGTTCACCATTGAAAAGGTTTTGATAAAAGTTTTTTGCCAAATAGAAATATAAAAATTAATAATATGACAGAAGTCAAAATACTTTTGTTTAATCGCTGAGATGACATTATATTTCTAAGATGTTAATGGGCTTATATGCTTTCATAAATTCCAAATTCCAAAATATCGAAACTTTTAGATATGTCTGCAGCATGCAAGACTCTGATTTTTATCATTCTGTTCTGTTGAGTCACATTGACTTGTTAACCAAATTATGGGAATGGATGTGTGCAGGTTCACTGTGGGAGTGGAAGAGTGTTAACTAAACCTTTTGCTTTTTTTTTTTGGGGGGGGGGGAGAGGGGGGATAGGAGGTTAGAGGCGGATTCAGGTTGGTTGGGATTTGATTGGGAGGGGGTCCATCGAGATCGGTGGGTTTAGGAAGAGTCTAGATGATGATGAGACACCTGGCAGCTATTGGTGAAACGTATGCCCAAACTGCCCTTGAAGATGCTGCTTGGAACCTGTGGCATGTAAATCCTTCTCAGGCCAGCACATCTACATCCACTTCTTCTTCAAACAATCCAAATCCTTTCACAAGTATTGTAAGACACCAAGGAGGACACACTACTCGGGGTGGGGGTGGGTCCCTTATCAGAACCATGCCAACTCCACTTGTCCCGGATGTTGACTTGTCAAACATAATCGCCATGGTTGAAACCGTTCGTGAAGTCCTTCCCCATGTCCCTGATGAATTAATATTACAGGTACCTATCCTCTCTCTCTCTCTCTCTCTCTTTCAATTCCTTTTTATTTAATTTTTTGAATTGGACATGGACATGAACATGATACGATAAAAAGAAAGGCAAGGGTCAGTAGTCATTGGTCATTGGAGGGAGGTTGTGTGCTGACGTCAGCCACCCAACCACACACAGTGTCGTGTAATATTTGAGAGCTATAGTTTTTTGTATATAGGAAAAAATAAATTAGACAAAAATATTGATCAAACTATAGCCCCCCTCCCTCCACCTGATTGAGCTTTTAGGGAAAAATGAAAAACAAATTTGTTATGTATTATTGATTGAGATTATGTATGTGACTGATTAACTGGTTTGCGTTTCTTGTTTTGTATTAATAATTAATTTAATGAAAGGGATCTATTATGTGGGACAGGGATAGGGACAGTGGAGGTGGTCAAGTGAGACCCTGTTGCTTTTATTGGGGTCTAGTGCTTATATTTGGGAGTTGGGACTGGATAATAAGTAGGAAAATGGTTGTTTATACCATATATCTTCAACCCATCTAGCTTCGAATGGCAGAAGTATGCTTCCAATTATTTTATTTTCTTTTTCCAAATTCATGAATCTATATTATAAGATATGATGATTCGGATGTGATGTCAACAGAGCTGTGGAAGATTTTGATGATTGGATTAATTGGCTTATGTATAAAGGTGGAGTTGGAGTGAAAGGAGACAATAGTTGGGAATCTTGGCGGGATGAACAGACACATATCCAGAAAATCAGAGGGCGTGTACTTGAAACTATATTGTGCTTGAGGTTCTTCATATTTCAATACGAGATAGTCTACAAGCTCCAGCTCACTGGAAATCATACATCATTATTGGTACTTACAATTTTTATTTATTTCACTTTTTTTTCTATGTGAAAATATACTGACAAAAAATACATTACATGACATGATATGTTAGATGAAATTGTGATGATATACTCTCTAGTTCATAGGATCAAGGATTGTCTATTAGCCTGAGGTATTATCTGCAACGAACATTGATTCTTCTAATAATTAGATTTGTATATTAGTTTTTTGACTTTTATTTGATCAGGTCACAAGAATTATCGGCGCAGGGTTTTCATTAGTCTTAAAGAATTATGAAAGGCAAGATGCAACTCTACTTAGTTGGAATTTGATGTTTATCATATTTGTGTATATCTTTTTAGTTTTATAGCATTACATTGCCGAAAATGTCCCTTAATAGCAATGTAGCAAGCTTGCTGTTAACATCTCGTGTCAGAAATACAAACACATATCGAAAACCATTTTCTTTCACTGTTGCATTTAAAACCTATATTTTAGTTTCAGATATCAGGTATTAAGTTTTTTCGTTCTTTTCCATGTATATATTACATATAATCATGTTAGAATTTGGTTTATATTAGTTCCTATCAAATGGACTTAATATCATGTTTTTTTATTATTGCATCATCTTAGTTGTTCCCAACAGAATGGTGTAGCTGTGTTTTCAAAAAAGATTTCATTCTCTTGTTTCAGTGAAATCTGTGTAGAAGGATTGAAGATGCTGAAATTAAGCACAAGGTACAACCAACAATCAAGATTCTTATTTCAGATCAGATCACAAATTCACAATATATTTATGTGTCTTTGTTATACATATAGATAAGGAAGGTAGATCCGACTTGGGACATGGAGGCTGATGAAGGAGACAATTACACACATATTCCAGTAAGAAATAGAGTTGGATGATTATTTGATAGTTTTATAGGAATATATAACCCATGTTAGCAATGTATTATTTTTGTTTAACATTTGAATGATTATTTGTATGACATTTTATAATTTGTGCAATTTATTTTATTTTTTGTGTATGAAATTTTATTTTATATTATGTAGTGGATTGTATTTTTTGTATATGGTATTTTATTTCTATTATGATACATTAAATGAAAATTTAATTTAAAATCTATAAATAATATATTTTTTTTAAACATTTAAAATTATGATACGCAAAAATGTGTGTCATCTTCATTTATGACATGGCCTTTCTTGACAGGGGCTTTCTTGATACGCATTGTGTGTCATTAACACGCGCGTCGTAAGGTTATGACACGCGAATGCGGGTCGTCTTACTTTATGACAGGGCCTTCCTTGATACGCATTGCGTGTCGTAAACGCGCGTCGTAAATGAGCGTCGTCTATAGATGACGCGCAAAAGCGCGTCGTCTCTCTTTATGACAGGGCCTTCCTTGACGCGCATTTGCGCGTCGTCTGAGCCTTTTACAATGCGCAATGAGCGTCGTAAAAGGCTGTTTTTC